GTTTTTTCTACTTTATAATTAATTCAAGCCTTCTTTCGGTGCTCAGCTGTGGAAGGTTAGAGAACTAATGGAAAATTATTATCTGGCATTAAATGCAATGTCAATAGGTAAATATTTAAAAACAAACCAGAAATAAACGAGCTACCGTAGTTTATTTATGGATTTTCTGGCTAGGGATCAGGCCAACTGCAGTAATTGAATTGGTTTGCTTGTCTAATAACAACAGCAACAGCAACAGCATCGACAATAATAATACAATAAGCAGGTTAAACAATAAAATAAAAAATATTAGTTTTAATGGCAAGTATGCACAGACTTGGCTCCAAATGAGCTTGAACAGCTGCTCATTGGCAGCGCCCCTCATTCCCGGCCACCTAAATGGGCTAATTGCCAATAAGAACTCACAATTGGCAATATACAGAACTGTACTTAAATAACGCTTATATACTTATCGAACTGACTAAAATTTAAATATTTTTCTCCATAATCTGCTTGCTTCAGAGTTAATTGCAAACAGTTGCAATTTAATATAAATTAACTGCCTGAACGGCAAAGCTGATAAAAACAAAAAATCAACATAAAAACACATCAAACTTAAAATAAATAAATCAAATTGATTTTGAAGACGCCTCGAATTTGAGCAAAAAAAATTGCATAAATCTAAACAGTTAAGTTTAAGATTTATGTGACTCAGAAGCCGCTTTGAACACGGCTACCAATATGCAAATGAAACATATGTATTTTAAATATTAAAACAACAACAGCAATATTTATAATTATTGTGATAGAATTCTTGTGGCTGTTTTGCGTAAATTACTCATACGCAATGTTAGCATAAAAGGATTTATATTTGTTTTAATAACGGTTTTCTATTAAAATTTACTAACTTATTCAAGAAACATAGAGTCAGCAAGGAGTAGAGAAAAGCTAAAAAATTTATATAATCAAACTTAACTCTTTGCGCTCATAGCTTACATTTCTTATACGCCTTGTTAGTCGTCAAGTATGCAAATCAAATCGATTTACTTATATTTATAAAAATAAAATATTTATANTATATATAAAAACAAGTATATGTATGTACATTTTTAAATATATATTCAAATAAACACAGCTAATGGCCAAGCCTTACGCTATTAGCTTAAATTACTCATACGCCGCATTAGCATCGACTCGGTTAGTTCATTTACCTTTTTGTTTATCTTTTTAGCGCCGCCAACGATAGCACAGTGGACGAGAACTGTCCAACGCTGGCCAATGCGGACAGCCTACAGTATACCGAGCTGATCCAGAGAATGACGCACGTCTGTCGCTACGATCGCTTGGAGCGGCCCATAGGCAAGTGCTATTAGCATTGGCTCAAGTAAATTTCGATTTACAATTGTTTTCCGTTTTCCCATTGCAGAATACGACAAGATAACGTCTAAGCGTCTGCCCATTGTGGTCAAGCTGCGCATCTATGTTTACTTGCTGCAGAATCTCAACTCGGATCTGCTGCAGTTCAAGATGCACGCACTGCTGCAGCTGAGTTTCCAGGACAAGCGACTCGCCTACAAGGAGTTCGCGCCGGAGCGGCGGGAAACGATCCTGGGCCAGAAGCATTTGAGCGAACGACTCTGGCTGCCGCACATATTCTTTGCCAACGAACGAGAGTCCAGCATATTGGGCACCGACGAGAAGGACGTGCTGACGTCCATATCAAGGGATGGCAATGTGATCATCTCGACACGCATTCAAGCCTCGCTCTACTGCTGGATGAACTTCAAGAAGTTTCCATTCGATCAGCAATACTGTTCCACGGTGCTGGAGAGCTGTAAGTTGAACAAGTTCTCCTATTGGAAATCTTCTTATTGGATATTCCTATTTCTGCTAGGGATGTACAACACTTCCGACTTAATTCTGGAGTGGGAGGATCGTGCGCCTATATCCTTCGATCCCGATATGCGACTCACTGAGTACAATCTGGGTCAGTATTGGCATAACACCTCCGTTGTGCTCTCCGATGAGGTCAATATGCGCCATGGTGCCTTCCGTAAGTCCTGAGACAATGACCCGTAAGGAGAGAATTGTTTAAATAGCTTCGTTTTTCTTCTAGAGGGAAACTATAGCTCGCTTAGCTACACAGTTAATTTGCAGCGTGAGATTGGCTTCTATCTGCTGGACTACTATCTGCCGTCCATGATGATTGTGGCCATCTCATGGGTGTCCTTCTGGCTGCAAGCTGATGCGTCACCTCCACGTATTATGCTGGGTAAGTCAAGCACTTCAAATTTTAAACTATTCCAGTACTCACGTATGGCATTCGCTCTTCAGGCACCAGCACCATGTTGTCCTTCATCACGTTGTCCTCGTCGCAGAGCAAAACCTTGCCGAAGGTCAGCTATATTAAGGTATCGGAGGTGTGGTTCATTGGCTGCACCTTCTTCATCTTCGGCAGCCTGGTGGAGTTCGCTTTTGTGAATACGATATGGCGACGCAAGGAGAATATTGAGCTGAAGAAAGTGAACAGTAAATATATTATAAAATCCACTCTAACGCCACGCCCATCACGGCGCCAAATGGGCGGCAGCTTAAGCAACGAGTCAAGAGCGCGCTCCTGCTCCAGCTTAGACAACATTGTATCCAGCACGGAGAGCGTGCGCAATGGCAATGGCACAGTGAATCCAGGCTTCAACAACTATCTAACAGTTCACGTAAGTCAATGCAGAGTGTGCCAAATAGTCAAGATATTTATATAAGCCTTTGATTACAGCCTAACCTGCCCATCATACGCACCGAATGCGCTGATACGCTATCCGTGTGCAGCGCGCGCTCCACCAATGATCACATTGTGGACATCGAAAAGGACAAGGACAAAGAGAAGGAGAAGGATTCGACCACATTTACAACCATGACGCCGCAAGAGATTGCCATGTGGATCGACAGACGATCGCGCCTGCTCTTCCCTGGCATGTTTTTGGCTTTTAATGCGCTCTACTGGATTTTCGTGTATTGTTTTTAAGCACTGACACACACATACACAATAATATATATACATGTGACTTATAAGCACACGCACACATTCGTTGCCATACATGTGAATTCATATACGCTCATAATAATTATGTGTACTTTTAAATTAGTCGTAAGCTGGATCATCTCATAGTCATAGTTGTACAAATATCGCCCCAATCGTATAAAGCCAATCAATAAACATACATATTTATAGTATAAGAAAGGAAGAAGAAGAAAATTCCGTTTAACTATTCAAATGTGGCGCTTCAGCGAAAAGTGTGACCGTATAAGCTTACTAGGGTAAGCTTTAAGTTTAAATGCCGTAAAGCTTGGAACTGTAAGCTAACATGATTTCTATGACACAGCAGTAGATGGCGTAGCGGATGCTGCGCACGACAGCCGATAGGTGGCGCAATTTGCATGCTCATAATAAATCTAACGAACTACAATTAAAGTAATTACTACGAGTATTACTAACTATTTATGTCTAATTGAGCATAGTTATGTGGTTTAGTTAATTAATGTCATGTTTGGGAGAAAGTTAATCAGCCTCATTAATTCGCATATTCATTAATTAGGCGATGCTAATCGCTTGAAACAACTTCAACTACCCCGCTTGGCGCTCGTATCCGTTGCACTCAAATTTCCTGCTCGAGTTTGCTTCACTGCATCCAATAAGCGACTCCCGTCTCCGCTTGCTCACATGAATTGGTGTATCCTCAAGCTCAATGCATTTAGCACTTTCATTTCCCTAAATATAATCAAAATATGCAAATGCAATTAGGCGAACATTTAACATTTACAAAGGCGTATTAATGCTTAATATATATATGTATATATATACATACATATATACATATCTTCATGGCTTGAAAGAGCATTAAAAGATTCTGTTTGCATTTTGGAAAAGTGAAAATTCCTTGTGCTTTGAGCAGACGGCAAATGGAGTTTAAGCACGGCAAATATTCGCATTTTGCTGCTAAGCGGCTTAAATTGCAATTTAAAATTTAATTATATTTTTCTTGTTCTATAATATGTACTTCTCTATCATGCCATAGTTTCATTTCAACCGTTTTTTATTGCAATTTCTCTCTATTATCGAAGAACATCTAGTGCTGGCTCGCAAATTGAAACATAATTTATTGAATTTGCGCGCTCATCGAGCGATTTGCAGCTGAAGGAAAAACGCATCGTGCAACAGTTGGCCGTTGATTTGTATCTGGGCCAAATTGCATCAGTTTATCAGCTTAGCATCACAATCAAATTCAGCACATGCGACTTTGTAGTCTAAACGGCAGATCCCAGCACTCAATTGAAATGCAAATTCTGGGACCAGAAATTATGTGTCAACTATTTGTGTGGAATTTAAAAAATAAATGATTTTAAAGTAAT